GCGAGCTAATGAACACAATGAATTTTAATTAATCATAAATAATACTAAGTAACCGTTTGGAAATAAATTTAACCACATTTCTAGCATTTTTATTATAATTGATTTTATATTTTATTGTAAAATTAATTGATTTGTTGTATTTTTATTTTTAAGAACTATATACAAAAATATATTTCATGCAAATTTATTTCACAATAACTTAAGCAATTATTAGAGTTAGATTTTTTTTATATTTGTTCATTTTGAACAGCTATTAATCCAGCTTTTAATCTATTGTGGTTTTCTAATTTGTAATTCATTTTATCTGATTTAATTTTGTTTTTAAAAAAAAATATTTTCAATAAAAAATTTTCTCCAATAATTATGAATTTACAAAAAAAAATATTTTGAAATTGTTTTTAGTCAACTTTAATTGGCTAGCATTGGCCTGGCTGGATTGCTTATCACATATAAATAATTTAAATACAAGTATTGTATATGAAAAAAATAAAAATTATTTACTAGTGTTAAAACATTAATTAACATTTAATCACTTTGAGCGTGAAGCTCAGAACCACTCGCTCATGCGATAATCGATTAAGTTAAAAAGTATTTTTCGCATTACGTATGAAAAATTTTTACATTTGCCAAATAGAAACTAATAGAGTTGGGCGCTGCCGTAAATAAAAATATGAATATTAATAAAAATACTAGTTTATTGAATACTAAAAGTAAATAGTAGAAATTTTTCATTTATTTGTAATATTAAACATGACTTCTAAAATAACTTTTTAAATATATCTATATATATATATAATTATTTTGAAAGGTGTAATTTACGTGAACTCATATTAAATAAATGTTACTTTTTATTTTTACTTCAAGCATTGTAAATTTTTATAATTTATAGATATAGAAGTAATATACGTGTATACATGCAGTTTTAAAGTTCATTTTAATTGAACGCAAAATTAAATAATTTTCTGCAGATATATTACTTAAGGTAATATGTAATGATGGAGTCATTATAAGAACAGTTGTCACCATCACCATCATCATTTTCAGTACAAAATTATTTTAGATCTAAAAAAAAGGGTTAAAAGCCTCTAATTAAATTTTTCTACACATCTTGTTTGGAATTTTTTATTATTTTATTGACATGTTCTAGCATTACATCAAAGGGGTAAATTAAGAACTTAGTCTATTGACATGGGATTCCAGCAAATCTCGGTTTCTAAGTACATGTCTTAACTCATAAAATGTTTTATACGTTTCCGTATTAACACTTTTACGCCATGTCTGGGGCATCGTCAGTTTTTTGCGTCTTTCCGAAGAGTATGTCCAATCCACTTGTATTTTCTGCACACTGTTTCTTTCTCAATAGGGATTTGCTTAGTTATTTAGATACTTGCTTGGTACAGATATTTTGAATGACCAACAGGACATGGGAGAGCTTCTATTAAGGACGTGTACGAGTTAGGTTAAGTTGAGTTCTAAATGAGGGAAATTTTAAGTTGTGCCGATAATGTATTGATGTGTCGATAAGTGTTGATAAATGGCTAAATGTGTGCAGTGCAAAAAATCCCAAAAAATCTTCCATTTGGTTTAGCAACAACTTAGCCTAACTCGCACACGTCTAAAAGCTAAAGATGGAAATGTCACTAGATATTAGATATGGAAGCATGTCATTCCAGTGATGAACTTAAACTACATCTATTTTACAAATAACTAAACTTTTTTCATCATTTGTTTATATATATGTCTATAAATATATATTTAAATGAAGAAGTTTTGTATTATTCAGTATTGGACTGTGTTTTAAAGAGGATATATGCACCATTATTATCACCCGTCTCAAGTAGGTAGTAATTGATTTACTGTTTGTTACGAGTATATAAAACAACTCTTAAAAATTAAAATATCATTAATATCAAATATATTATTATATTGTGAACTAAATGAAATATTAATGTTAATATCAGTAATCATATCAATATTGTGAATGAATTGTTTTGCACAACACAGGAAAACAGAAAAAAGATATGGTTATATGAACATAAAAATAAATATATACGAATGAAATATTATATAAATTCATATTGTATAGATTATTAATAAACAATGTATAAATTACTCTTTCATCAAATTGAAAGTCACTTTAATTAATCACGAGTATAAAGCACGGTAATGCAATTTTAACAAAAGTCTTAATTAAACAAAATATATTATACATCATATACTATATATCATATAAAAATTACAGATGTTATTTAAGTATAGGTACATATACTTCAACGATTTTTATTACGTATCATGAAACCCATATAAAAATACACTATTTACTTAAAGGCATGTATAGCTTGTAAAACTTCATTAATATTACTTCAACTAATAACACAAATTATGGATTCCTAATAATAATATTAGATCTGGATTTTATAAGTTATTTTCTGGGTTTGTTAACTGATTGAGTGAAGCATAGAGCATAGAATTAGTTTAAATTGACTTTGTGCTGGAGATAGGCAACAAAGTAGCGCAATGCATACTCTACATTTCTTTAGTTCACTCTATTCTTTTCTTTCTGGTCATATTTGTTATAAGGATGATGAAGAAAAACCATGTAAGTCCACCAAAATACATACAGAATATTTGATGCTATTCTCTATATATTTCTGTTTTCATATTATTTCTATATCTTTCAGATGATCTTCAATGATTAACTCGCGTATATTAGAACCAAGTCTATTTTTGTGTTAAAAAAATTAAAACTTTAGAATAATGGAGTACGTATGAAGGAAGTTTCATATAATTTTAAAAAGAATAAAAATACCACTAGAATTATTGATATTGTAAATAAGATCTTTTCTAGCTCCGTTTGTATTCTTTAGTCTTTATTATTTCCTCTAATTCTATAATCTTATCTGATTGATTGTATAAATAAATATCTATTAACTATTTGGGTAACTTAAAGATTTAACATATATTCTCCATTTTTAATATATATTTCTAGATTAGAGTTTGTGACCTATTGTGTTTTAATATACATAATGGAAGTTTTCAAACCATATTGAAACTATAGTAGAGTATACGGCACTGCTAATTAAGATATTCTAGAAAGTAAGTCCTTGATATAGTCAACTGACGTTACGACAGGTCTGCATAATGACAAAATGGTTGTAAATAAGTTTTCTCATATATCTCACAGTTGCTTAGACCACAAGTATTTCTGGTGTGAAGATATTGTTGATAAAGATAATCTGCAAAATTTTAATCGTTCAAGTCTTTGAAAATCTATATTTCATTTAGTAATGAAGAAATAAACTTTCTGGTTGCGTTTCAGATTGATCGAGTTAGTAACTTTAAGTACTTCACTGTTTTAGGTGGGTAATTACATACTAGAATTATTTCCTATATACAGAATTCTTTGTTCAATAAACGGAATTATTTGTTTATAACAAAAGGAAATGCTTTGTTTAATAAACAGAAGTTTTTATTAATAAAAATAATCTTTTCTTTAACAAGCATGAAGCTTTATTCAATAAACAGAATGCTTTATTTAATAAACAGAGTGGTTTGTTTAATAATCAGAATGCTTTGTTTGATGACTGGGTTGCTTGTTTTATTGCTTTCTTTAATAAACATACTGCTTTGTTTAATAAACAAAATGCTATATTTAATAGAAATAATATTTTATTTAATGAACAGAAAGCTTCGTTTAATAAATAGAATATTATGTTTAATAAACAGAATGTTTTGTTTAATAAACGAAATGGTTTGTTTAATGACTGGGATGCTTTGTATAATAAACACAATGATTTGTTTAATAAACATAATGCTTTATTTAATAAAAAGAATGCTTTCTTTAATAAATAGAAAGCTTAGTTTAATAAACAAACTGTTTGTTTAATAAAAAGCATGGTTTGTTTAACAATCAAAATGCTTAATTTAGAAAATGGAATGCTTTGTTTAATAAGCAGAATGCTTTGTTTAGTAAACAGAATGCTTTGTTTAATAAATAAAAAACTTTGCTTAATAAACATAATGTTTTCAAGAATTAAACTGAAAGGTCTTCTAATGAACATCGTTACTAAAGTGATACGTATCATTAGAGAACTATATATATTCGAAGATCAAACTTTTTTTAATATTTTCTAGAACAACGTGACCTTTGGTCAGGTACATTTTTAAACTTATAATGTGAGTTCGTTTAAGACAGTTATTACTGTATTATTATTATGTATTTTATTGTATTATTCTTAACTCGTTATAATATCTTTTATTAGCTGTTAACATAAGAAATAACTGTTTTAAATTTGCAGTGGCGCTGAGGTAAGTGTTCGTGAGCTCACCTCACTTAATTTCATATATATACACATAAATATATTTCTAAAAAATTTGTTCAAAAACATACTTATATGGCTTTTATAACTGTTTATACATATTTTCATATATAAGTATATATTAACTCAAAACAAGATTATTGTTGGCATTTCATTAGTCAGAATAGAATCTAAAATGTTTTTTAATACAAAACAATGTCTTTTTTTTGTGTATAGTAATACACACCTGGTCGTATAAAAATATATGAGATATGAAATGAATATATAAATATAAGTGATATATGTTAAAGCAGTGCTCTTTAGTAAACATAAACACTGTATTACATAAAATTTAATTTACAAGAATACTTTTCTTCTTTATGTTTGCTACTCTAAAATGTGTTTATTTATTATTAATAATAATAAAATGTGTTTAATCAAACGCGAATAAAATTGTTAAATATGAATAAAAACTTTAGACTTGAATAGTTCGCGTTGCTGAGCGAACACTGTATATTATTTAGAATATCGAATTATATTTGATGACTGCCTCTTTATCAGTGACTCCGTGCACAAATATTTCACATTGAAAATGAATGCATGAAACGCATACTGAACAATAATTGTTATAAAAAATACTGTATATATTTATTTGTGAATATAAAACGTAATGCACTTCCTATGCATTTTTATGGCACTCACCTCTAAAATACAATCGCCGGCCTTTAAGCCACATACTTTCGCTGGAGTGCCGATGTCGACAGCGCTTACCTAAGGTCACAAAATGAAAGTTTTTAATTCCAAAAAAAAATAAAAAGAAAAATAAATTTAGTAAAATCACTTTTATTATATATATATATTTTTTTTAATTTAATGAACTGATTTTTTTTAAAATTTTTAAAAACATGCTAATAGCAAAATTATGTGTGAATCACTTAAAAAATTAAGACTATGACACACCCATGGATATGGATCCCATTTACTGCGCGTTAAACGAAACCCGCAAGCACCGTTTTGTGATTTTGGAATTTTCAATAGACGCACTGTGGGTTTAGTATCTTCTTCGGTACTTGTATTTTTTGGTACAAAGCAATCGGTTTGTTTGTAATGCCCTTCGATTGTAAAATCGGAACTAGCACATGAACTTTTTCGACTCATATTGTATGTAATTATTCCATGCGATTATATATAATTTAATTAATTATTTTTTTTTAAGAATATTTTTTTTATTTTTTATATATATATTTTTTATATTTCTTTTATTTCTTTTTATTTAAAATTTAAGTTAATGCCCTTAGTAACTACAAATGATTATAATTTTGGCCACTTTTATTGGGTTTTGGTTAGCAAACTCATTTATTCCACTTTTGATTTATCGTTACTAATTTGCTTATATTGAATTTTTTATTAATTAATTTGCATACTTTATGTTTAATTATAAATTTTTTTACATTTGGTTTATGCAAATATGAACTTTAAAAAATTTTATGCTATTTTTTATATATTTTTTTTAGTATCTTTGGCTCTCGTCCGTATAGCGTGTTGAAGTCGCGCTTACAAATTTTCGACTAAGCCAATATTTTCTATTTTTTCTTGACTGATTTCGAATCGTTTTTCTGTCTGCTAACTTGTCTATTTCAGTTTTTCATTTGCCGCGACGACTGCTGTTCTTCTTGTTGTTGTTGTGGCTGGTATTATTGTTGGTATGATCATTGAAGTTGTTGCTCTTATTAAAGCTATTAACTGTTCCCTATCAACTGTTCACTGTTCAGTGATCACTGATCACCGATCACTGATCAGCGATTAGTGTTCTCTGTCAATAGTCAATAGCGTACCTTGTACGTATTCATTATTGCTTAACCGACGATGTATCTCATCGATACATGTGCTTTTGTTAGTTACTAAAGATACTTTTGTATTTCATAATTTCGTCATACAAAGTGGTTTCGCTTGTGTTGTTGTTTGTTATCAATTAACAGATTGAACTTCTGGTTGAATACTTGTTTCATCTATAAAAGATGCAATATTTTTGTTTATATATTCTATTCAGTATTATTAGTTGAATAAACAAATTAACCAAATTACTGCTTTTTATTTAAAAAAAAGAAAAAGGGGTCAACGGAGCAAAAAGTTTTTTTCCCAAATTCCATTTAAAAGTGTTAATCAGTTTGATATAAGCAAATTATAGGAAATATACGAGTAGACCGAATAATATTTTTATATAAAAATTTAATATAAAAACAAAAAAAAGAGATGAAAATAATGAATCATTTAAAATTTATTTTCTAAAAAATTCTCTATTAGAGATATAATTATCGATGAAGACATTTTAGTTTTTTTATCTTTAATGATAGTTTAATGACTTGAGATAATTTTTTGTAAGCATGCTTCCCAGACATTTGAAGGACAAATTTTTGTATATTTGTTATTATTTAATGAATTTCCTAAATTTAACAGAGTTCCAGAATAATAATTAAGTGAAATGGGCTATTAAGCTTCCTTTTTAGGATGAGATGTTGAGTGAAATGATATTTTATATCATATCATAGCTAATATTATATGATATGATATTTTATATATCGCATCAAACCAATGCAGTGTCTCTTAGGCATTAAAAATTACTTAATGCTTAATTAATAGAAGTAATGTCCAGCACAGTCGGTCCTATGCAACAAGATTCCTTATGTAAACATGGTTATCTTCTCAGATAGCTAAGAAGCTTTGAAATAGTTACTTAATGTTTAATTAATAGAAGTAATACCCAGCACAGTCGATCCTATGCAACAAGATTTCCTATGTGAACTGGATCATCTTCTCAGTTAGCTAAGGTTCTATGAAATCTTTGGTGAACGCTACAGTTACAACCAGTTCCAGAATGCCGAGCTTCTCTTAAGGCAGCTAAAGTTCGAAAATGCGGAGTTTCTCTTAAAGAGCTGGCTAGGCCTGCCACTGTTCAACGTGCGTACCTAGACACAGAAACATCTGCAACTGCAACTTTAAGGGAGATTAGCTTGCCATAACAAACACTCTGCTCTCTGATATTCATTACTCGGTTATCGGTATTTGATTACTCGACAGCAAAATTGGGTTGGGCCAAACTACCAGACAGCTGCTTAAACTTAAGGGAAACTTGCTTAGCAGTGCAGGAGCAATGCTGAGAGGTCGGTTACAGGTCTGAGAAAACTTAGAGGCAGACGTGTTATGAAATTAAGTCTGTAGCATAATGATTTTTGCTGTAGCTCAAAATAGATGGAAGAATGAGTTTCTCAACTTCTTCATTGATGCTCATATATTAGCATATATTAGATAATTAAATACTTTTTGGATTTTTTTATATCGACCTGACAGAGCAATAATTCTATTAAATCATAGATTTGATGAAGTATCTAGACTTGAGAGATTGGTTCACTTTCACTTGAGTGAGAGAGTTGTGTTTTTCAGCGTCCCTAATAGTACAACTGGCCAAAATTTAAGCTCAAGTAGATTTTGTTGCACAATACCGTCACTCAAGCCTAACGTAAACAATATCTGAGATGATTTGATCTTCTTACAAGAAATGGTATGTTAGCTAATTCTACCTACATCTGTAATACGGTCGAACTGCTCAGGAAATTGAAAACGCAGTATACTTTTTATTTATGTAAGCTATAACCTTAAGCTCGATATCTTGAGTAGTGAGCTTATCGGCATACAATGTAGCTTAGCCAAAACATCTGACCCTATTAAAATACTTTGTTAAATCATAGTGGTCGGAAAATCAAAATTGCGCTGATTCAGTTTATTTTTTTTTGAAAGGAGGTCTCTATTACGATGTGGACTGACTTATGATTGAAAGGAATCCTTCAGTTTGAAGTGGTTAGCTTCGTAAATGAACATTTCCTACTTTGACTATTGTTTGGTTTCCGTTAAGGATATATGTATTTATGATTATAAGTGGATAGATTATTAAAGGACTCCTCAAATAAAAGATTTAGAGTAGAATAAAAAGATTTAGAGTAGTAGTAGCATTTTCTTGTAAGTTTATCTAATACGCATAGTATTTCTATATAAATGTGTTCCATCGGAAAATAATTTGGTTGTCAAACTGTTGACTGATGAGACTTTTATAACATTTGTTAACTGATTGTTTAAACAGCTAATTTCCTTGAATTTGATTTCATTATTAGTATATGTGAATTAAGAATGAGAAGCAATATTAACTTACACTACATTGTCTAAGTAGTAATCATGCTGACCATTTAAGTGATCTATACAGCGACTACTACTAGGGTTGCGCTTTTTTAATGTCCAGTACTCACCGGAAGGGATCTATCAACAATAGTTTCTGATTTTTTTAAGTGCTACTACTAAGGTTGCGATATTTTAATGTACAGTACTGACCAGAAGGTATCTATCAACATTAGAGTGTGACTTTTTCAAGTGCTTTTTCGGCATATCCAATCCGTACATAATATTTGTTTGATCACGTTGGCTTTCCGGTCAAGTCTAGTAATACTATATCTGTGTTCAAATTCCTCAATGAGTAAGCCATCTAAAAGATTGGCTGTTATTGGCATCTATTTATAAATCCATTCATAATATTTGTGTCTGAAATTTTATTGAAAAATATCTGAATTACTATAGTAACAATTTAAATAATAGAAGAATTTTCATATTCTTTTGTTAGTTGGAAAATGATTACAAATAAATTACATTTACTTTATTTACACTAATGTAACAAAACTTTTAACTCCCACTGTTGACTTACAAATATTTAGTTATTAACAATAAGTTTTCAAACAATTTATTATTAAATTATAAATAAAGAAATTCTATTGCAAAATTTGCTGAATTAAAATTTTATAAGATTTCTGTTAATTGATTTTATTTGATTATTAAGAAATCTACACTTTTTGCAAAATTACGCAAATATCAAATATTTTTGTTTATGCATTGAAGTGTTTGAAATCGAAGTTTGAGCATTTGAGTAGCTGACTAGCTGAGTATCTGAATATCTGAGTATCCGAACATTTGAAGAATTGCTACTGTTATTGTTATTTATTGGCCCGAATGGTGAAGAGTTCAGCGCACCCTCATGCGCCCATAGCTTCTGGCATTGAGCTGAGCTATTGACTTTCGGTTTCAACGAAAAATTCAATTTAAACTTCAAATTACGACTACGAAAGCAGCAAAATCATTTTATTTTGTAATGTTTTCTAGCATAAATGCAAGTATTTAATTAATTATTTATTGTTTGCTTAATTTTAAATTCATTTGGCCTAAACACAGAAGTCATTCACAGTTAAGTTAACACGATTTTAATTAATATTAATTGTTGCTGCAGCTACTTTTTTCAGCTTTGGATTTTAATTGAAAATGGCAAAGACCAGAAGTGAAAAAACCTTTGTGTATTTTGCGTACCACAGTTGACTGCCAGAGTTCAACACCCACTCAAAATAGTTATTTTCAAAATATTATAAAATATTTATTTAAATAAATAATCTTATTTCAAAGGCTATTGACCAATAAAACTAATGTACTTCAGACATTACGGGCACTTAAGGTTTTGAGTTTCGTAAACTCATATGTGGTAAGTTGTCATGTCATAATGAATAATTTTCAGAAATGATTGTTAGATTATTTGAACTTGAACTGTTTAGATATTATTACGTAGCGAAGAAAGTTACTTTGGTTTTATAGGTAGAAAGAGGTAGCTTTCATAGGTAAAATTAAAATATGTATTTAAAATTACATTATAACATCAAACTACCTCATACTTCGTCACATCTCCGACTGCCTAAACGGCTTACACACACGACTATCATAAATCTGTATTATCCACAGTTAGTAAAAGATGGATTATAAGTAACCTAACTGTTGAATATATATGACCAAAACAATCAGTAAGTGATTCTATAGATTTTCGTTCACGCTAGAGTTTTGATAACTGAATCACAGTTCAACTAACCTGGAATAGGAGTAGTCTCACTATCTGAAGGCACGGCATTAGTCTATGGCTTTGGAAAATTGTTGCTTTCTCGCTGCTTTTGGAGCGAAATTATTCTGTGCCTTGGGAAAAGGTAATTTCTTTTTACTCTTTCAGAAAAAAGAGCAAAAAAAAGAAAGCTACACTGATACAAGTTAACGAGATGTAAGAATTATATGCAAGTCACATAAGTAAAAATAATTAACAGGAATGATTTGACAGGACGCTGTACGTTAAGCTATCACCTAACAAAACTGGAAACATACTTTAATGAAGCTTGCAGCTATTATAAGGAAGATATAAGATTGGAAAACTTTTGCTAACAGTTGACCCGACACTAATACATAAACGAAAGAAGTACTTAGGTGGGTGGTCATAACTATAAAATTGATTAAATTTTTAACAGATAACAGACTTGTTCTGGACATTTTCAAATAATTAATGATAGTTAATGATAAGGATGAAAGGGGCAAAAGCGTGTGCCTCAATGGAGGAGTGGTGCAAATATATACCCTAGCTTTCTCAACTGTCAACCCTGGTAGGTTCTGGCGACCAAGGCTCCCAAGTACAGACGGTATAATCGAAAAACATATAGTTGAGCGGAAATTCTTTAACTACTAAATACCAATCCTATCTCCAGGTTAGCAAATAAGTAGATTTGGTTCTCCAGATTGAGGGTCGATTGCAGGACCAGCAACCTTGCATCGGAAAAATTTTACCTCTACGCAACCCTAGGGAGGCTAAGGTTTATACTGAACTGTAGTGCAAAATAAGAAGAAGAATTAATGATAGTTATTCTTTTAAATTAAGATTTAACACAATTTGACGTTAAATTATAACTTATATTCACAAAATATTGGTTTCGCCCGTGCGACTAGTGGAGTAACATTAGCATTACTTTCTCAGCATTACGTTCCTAGATTAGGTTCTATACAAAAGAAAGAACAAATCATACAACATATAATGCCTCTACGAACAGAATAGTATTAAAATTAAAATAAAAATAAAAATATAATTAATTATTAATAATGATTCTGATAATTAATGATTCTGAGCTTCATATTTGGCAGGACCCGAGTTCGATTCGATTCCTGGTACTTGCAGTCTCAAAAATAATTATTTACGAATAATTAAATACAATAATTATTTCTAAGACCACTAATGATGGGTATTTGGCAATATTCGAAACAGCTGTATGGTCAGTCAAAAATTCAATTAATTAAAATAATATAAAAAATAAAATTTTTGTTGCTGTAGTTCACTGCTGTTCGAAAAAAACCTCTTTATGATTTAACACAATCAAATTTCCATATTTTTTGTATATAAACATTATGTATATTAGTGTATTTGTATGTGCATATATTTATTTATATAAAAATAAATATTTTTATAAAAAGTATAAAAAAGAAAAAGTATTTATTATATTTTTTATTATTATTATGATTATTATTGTATAATTGTCTTACTGACACCGTGAATAATTGAGGAACTATTATTTTTATTATATAAAACAGGTTCAAAGTCATTTCGAACTAAGTTCAAATATTAACTGCTTTCTGTTGCTGTTAATTACAAGTATTGAAGAAAAATCTCGTCAGCTTTTACTCAATGTAAAAAGCTTTTAATTATGACTCAATGGGATATGTTACTTACCAGACAAAATGAGTGCTTTGGCCAAGCGCTGTTAAGACGTCTTTAAGTTGTCTTTTAACTGAAAACGTTCAGATTTCATTTGAGGTTCGTGTTGTGCGCAAGCGTGGCTTGAAGTCGCTTGTGTGAGAGCGCAAAAATTCGAATTTATTACGAAATTTCTTTAACGTTTTTAACTTAAGCGTATCGAACGCATTCACAACGGCACATAACGCTTAAAAGTGTAACTCGGCGCTGGTGTTGTAACTAAAAAAAAAAAATAAATAAAAAAAAAATCAACGTAAAAATTCAAAAAAAATTGCTGTGAAGTCAGTGTAAAGTGTGATTTTGTTGGTAATTATTTTTGCAAAAAAGTTAAAAAAATTTAATAAAAAATATAAAAAAAATAATTACGAAAAAAATTCATATAAATTGCATAATTAAATTTAATTAAATCTGTAAATAAATTAAAAAATTACATTGTTTCAAATATTTAAATTAATAGCATAGACAGTGCTAATCGCAAGTAAGTTCATTTAATAAACGGAGTTAATGAATAATTTAATGATTTGTTGATATTAAATAATTGTTGAATAAATGCTTTAATGCTTACAAGATCAAATGTGGAGGAAATTTAATATAAATGAGAAATATATAAATAAAAACCTCAAGGCGTCAGTTTATTACCAGTAGTAAATAAATATCAACTTAATTACCATGTAAGAAGCTTATAGAAACTAGTGATTGGTTAAAAAAATATTTAATGAGTGAAGTCTGGTAATATAGCAGATACTCGTGCAGAATTGTTGTTGTTTGATATGGGCAATGGCGGAATTTTCCTTAAAAATGCGGTTTTAAGACCATATACAATAGTAACCTAGTATATAACATATCACTATATCGTAGTATTATATACGCTAGAAGAATATAACTTATAGTAAACATGATTAGTAGGTTATCTAGTTAACTTCATAAGTATAAAACTAGAACAGAAAAAACCATCTATAGAGGTATGAATAGTGTACTCATACACTATAGTATCCTAGCATATATCATATCACTATATCCTCGTATTACATATACTAGGAGATTATACCTTAATTTGGTTAATAAGCTATCTAGTTAACTTCATAAGCATAGAACTAGAATAGAATAGAACCGTCTATAGATATAGAATATCTATAGAATAAATAGTGAATTAATTCTTTTTTTCTGTTTTTCTTTTGTTATTTTTGGGCAGCCTGCATCTGGCTGGCTCTTAGTCCGAGTTTGAAGTTTTCTTTAGTTTGTGAAAGCAGGATATTTTTTCTAATTTGTAGAAAATTAATAATTCCTCCATTTATTCTAATTAATAATAACTATTAATGACACTAATTATTCTTCAACTGTAGCATTTTCAATTTATATAAATGCACAGTTTTGTGATTCCATCTGTGTATTAGTGAACAAATTAGTATCAATTAGTTTTAATTAAATGGAACTTTACAGTACGACTTTTGTTATGTCCAGAAAAATATCGTCTATTGTTATTGATACAGTAGTTATTAAAATATTAGAATATCATAGTATTATTATTATTAGTATGGTTTCGAGCATGGAGCATTGGCCATCACAAGAATATTTTATGTATTAAGTTCTTTATGTATTAAAAATCAATCGGAAGTGTACTAAATAAACGATGCAGTAAGCAAAATTGGAAATAATTACAATCTAAGAGGAAAGATGGATCGCCGATTAAGACCTGACGGGTTACGGGTTATGGATACGACGGGTTACGGATACTTTAGCAAGTTTTCAGTAAGAATTGAAAAGAGCGCAACTTCAAATTGCATTTACGATATCTTAAATAATATGAAAGCGGTCCCGAGTGGGGATGAGTTTCGACAAAATGGGGCAAAATGAAGACACCATTCCGAAAATGGATGATACTGAAGACACCTTTTACAAATGTGTGAGGTGATCTCAGCTTAAAAGAGAAATTAAAAAAATAAATGGAAAGCTCAATACATTGGAAAAATGCTGGAATCTGTATTAAATTGGAGCCTTGCAATAAAAGTTTGTAGATAAAATTAATATAAAACAAAAAAGCTGACCTAGATATCACGAAAAATAGCAACAGTAAGCGTAACGTGAACATACTTTTGAAGTGAAGATCTAGACTCAATGACAAAAGATGGATCTGAATTAATGTGAAAGCGATTTCGGGTGGAATGAGTCTTGACAAAAAAAAGCACTGAGAAAAAGGTCAGCGTAATTTAAATATAGTCTTAAAGTGGTGATCCAGATTATTAGATGTTATAAACATAACAATGTTCTCAACGACAAAAGAGCGATCCGCAGTAATGTGAAAGCGATCTTGGAGTGTATGAGTTTAGAGGTATTCAATGCAAACTACACGTTTCCATATTAGGAAGTTAGATTTGCTGTTTCGAAGAGGGTTTTGTAGTATCATCTATAAAGCATTTCACCTCCACACTAGAGAAAAAGACATAGAAAATTTGATGATATTTAACAAAAAATATGTGGTTCTGTAAAAAGGATGCTTATGTGCTTATGAGAATGATAATATACTAAAAGTAAAGTTATGTATGGCTTCCATATATATTATTTCTTCCAGATTCCAGAACTGAAATCATGTTCCCAAGCTCGAAGATGTGATCAAACAAAAAAGCTTTGTTTTCAGAGTTATTGTTTGGATTGGGAAAACTGGAGGAATAACTGAAGGAATACTAAGCAAAAGTAGATTATGTTGAGAACACGTTGATTTTTTAAACGTACCTTTCATAAATATTCTATATTTAAATGTAAATATAAATGATTCTTGAAATATTCTAATAATAAAATCTCCCACTAATTTTCTAAATACTTTTTTGAAGTAGTTTAAAGCCAAATATGCAAAACGTTTAAAAAAATCAATTAAAATGAAAAAAAAAAACGGGTTGGCAAAAAAAAAAACTATTTATAATAAATCAACTTATTAGATCATTTAATAAAATTTTTGAATTATTTTTAGAAATAAAAAATACAATAATAAAACTTGTTAGTTTTGTTGTCGTTTCCTATATTTAATATAAACAAACAAACGAATTAACGAATGAATAAACTTTAACATCATAAAAAACATGAATAAAATAAATATCTCAACACACGTTCAATCAATCAATAAAATTTTATCTCATAAATCGTAGTATAGGCGCATAACAGCATTCAATAAGGAAAAATTCAAGTATTGCCACGCATATTTCGCTAAGAACATAACAGCAGCAACTACAACAACACTACAATAACAATTGACTGTTAAAATACACTTAACATAAGCGAGTAATTATTTGTTATTGCAGTGCAGATGATGAGTTGGCAATACCACTTTGCACTCTAAAGCAAAGTTTACTTTGATGTCAGCAAGGCGTGCGTGCATATGGCTTGTGTTACTTGTGCAATGTTATTCGTTTCTTCGTTCATTTGTTCGTTGATTCACTTGTACGTTAACACATACACAAGCTTACACATGCGCAACAGCTGTTATTGCTGCCGGCTTCACTAAATATTATTTAAGCTTCTGTTATTTATTTTTCTAATTGTTGTTGTTGTTATTGTTTTGTTATAAATATCTTTACTTTATATTTCATGTTTTTTGTATTATTATTTTGTTTTTTTTTTCTCTTATTATTTTTGAAGTTGGTTTCTGGGTCTGTGTCGGGCAGTTTTTGCATGCTTTTATTGTTTCTGCTTGTGACGCAAGCGCTGTAAATTTTGTTTTTGTTGTTGTTGTTGCTGTTGCCGTGGTACGTTTTTTTTTGTTGAAATCGAAAGTCTGTTTGTTTTCATAATTTTTCTTTTAATTTTTATTTGCGAAATTTTCTGTTTATTTTATTAGCGCAACCAGTAAAGCCTCTGCTTTAAGTGTTGTAATTGTTATTGTAGTTGTTGTTGCTGCAATGAGTCAATCTCTTGATAACTGTTTTATTACAATTTATCTACTAACTATTATTTTTTTATTGCACATTATTATTTATTAATAAATATATGTTGGCATATGTTTTTGCGGCTTAGTGAACAAATGTTCGATGCGTGAAACAGTTGCAATTTAATCTCGCATTGGAACAGTTGCGTACTTTGGCATTCATAGGCCATAAATCACACTCAACTGATAACACAACTGGAGCAGAAAAGGTATTTGTGGCTTTTTTAAATGATTTTTTATTGGACTTAATTATTCATGGTCTTTTCACACACTGTCATTCTTGCGCTAACAGTTTAAGTTAACAGAAGCTTTTAGGCCAGTCGATTAAAGTATTTAATAAAAGTTTGCAGTGCTCTGTTGGTATGTTCTCTTCAACAAGTATTCACTAAATTTTCTATTTCCGGTTTTTTTTCTTTCAAACTCAATTCAATAATTAATTCCACAATTATTTTTAAGTCAGAATGTAATTAAACTCAAGGTAGACTCTGTAGTGTAATTTTCTTTAAATTAATTAATATGAAATTACCTTATATTAAAATATCAACGAATTACTTGACGCAGCATATGTTTAAAAAAAAATATTTTGGTAAAGCAAGTGAGAATTAAAAATTGAGAATTAAAAATTGAGCAAGTGAGAATGTACTAAAAACTTAGTAACTATAATTCTAAACCACTTTAAAACAAATAATTAATATATATATTCAGTTTATGAATTTTTCCCGGTAATTAATTTTAATGTAATATTATCGTTTACATTTATGTTATTCAACTCTTCCACTTTTTACTGTTTATAAATATTTATTTTTATGTAAAATAAACTCAAATAAATGCTAGTAAATTATGGGGAAAATATATTAAGGAGTAAACAAGGGTTTCAGGTGAATTATGAATATCTGCGCTATTGTTGTGTATTTTACTTTGCGTGGAGCCCCCCCTACATTGAAATAAAGAATTCAGCTAAATATTTTTATAAATAAAAAAAAATAACCTTTAATTGTTCAGTTTATGTAGCAGCTATGTGACTTTTTTCTGTTTGTTCTCCGTGTAACATATCAATAGCAATTGTGTAAGGCCTTAAAATACTTCAGTTAGCTTCTCAAAATTATTTGTAATAAGACGCATAGTGTCCAATAGATCATATTGTATTGTAAGTTCCGTTCCAATATTTTGCACACATTTTTAATATTTTTGGAGGAAATTAAGAACGCGTGGAAGAGGGTAGGAGCTGATATTTAAGCTACAACAGTCACGGTTGTGAAGCGAAGTGATAGAAATATGGCCAAAATTCAGTATATTTTGGAAACTTCATTATTATTCGTAATAAAAGCCACATCGCCATTGAGTTAGCTATTATAGTATGGCTCGATCCAGATAATATCGTCTGTTAATCGTCTTATGTTGCTAGCAGAAACTAAGTTAGTGAGTTGATTAACTTGGCACAAAGAATTGAAAAGAAAAATATTCGCCAACCTGTTGTACGGACTTATATATTTATATATATATATATCTTTATAATTATAATACTGAAAGTTTTTAAATAAAATTTGGGAAATATGATTTGG